CTCGCAGGTCCGTTATCTAAAGATTATAGAAAAGAGCGGTTACCAAGCCCTTCCTTGGGTTCGTTACATTACACAAAATGGAGGTAGGTTTAATAGTACTAATTCAACATTGTAAACAGCGCTACTTAGAATGCGTTTTCTCAAATCTACGCCGAACGTTCTCTCGATATCCCGGAAAACTGGAAAGCGTTCAGATTAGGGGCAAACGAGCGAAGGCAATTACATCTGATAATTCACCAGAAACGCAAATAACGCAATAATTCAATTGGAGCTCGATGCGTTGCCAGAGGTGGGAAAACAGTCAAACGGTGTCAAGCGCGGGAAAACCTGTAACCGGCGCCAAGCGCTGGAAAACATATCTCAGGTGCCAAGCCATGACTGGTTAAGTTGGTTGCGCTTCCTTTGCCCTTGATTGGTTCAATTGGTTGGTTCTAGAAAAAGCATGCTTCTTCTGATTGGTTAGGGTAACATTGGACGCATCTGTTGTCCCTCGAGAAAGTCTGAATGCCAAAGAGAACTCAATTCCTGTATATTTTTCTCTTTCAGATTACCAGTTGAGAACGACATAAACGAGAAAGACGTCTTTCTCTAAATACCTCTTTTAATGTAGTTAAATTTACACGTAGAAAGCTGTCGATTAAGAATTTAAAAAAAAAAGAAAAAAAAAAGCCATGCCATTGATCGGTGAAGATTCTACTTGCTCTCTCGCATCATCTTGTAGCAGAAATGCTTGATACTCGAGCTTTTTGTTAGTAATTTTGGTGCAGTGCTGTCAAATTGTTTCGACGGACTAGGAAGTGAGAGTTTTTTTGTTCTATCGGAGAATCAGAATAAGAAACAGTCAAAGTGCTGTTATGAATTAAAATTGTCAAGAAATCGTACTTCTTCCCCGTCTTTATAATTAAAGCTAATTCTGTCGTGTTGGCACGCCTTGAAGTTTCCTCTGTCGTCGCTCGTAATCCGTCCCAATCTTAACCATCGTTGTCCTTTTTTGTTTGTTTATTCGAGGTTACCTTTTTTTACAAGAAAAATTTGACTTCTTACATGTACCTCTTAACAAAAAGGTTTATGGAGTTAATTCGACGAATTTTATGCTCCCAAAATTAGCCTAATACTCTCAAGATGATGATTTCCGTTTATAAAATACAAGTAGAAATAGGTTGAAACTGGTCACTTACAAAAACAGGCAGTTATATGATGTAAACCAATAGTTCTATACGTGTAGTAGTGGAACCCAATAAAGCTGTGTTTTTCTTACTCAGCCGTTTCTGTAGTCGATACACTGAGAAGGGACGATGATACAGAGACGGCGTTTGTCGTGCCAAGGCCCCGACTGTTAACGACTCAAATGGGTCTGGGCACGGGAGTAGATACCACGCTTCTCAGGTCAAAGACGAGGCTACAAAGTAACTGGGGAGGTCGGCCGGGGTTGAGAGAGTGGCGGGAAGAAAGATGAACCACAGATGGTTTTTATTTTTAAGTTAAATAAAGTAGGGCGCTTAGGTTACAAGAGCGCATATCGGTCTAGCGGGTTCTATTACATTTGATACGCTTATCAACAAGAACATGCTCAAAGGAGGTGGAGTGCACTTATCACAAAGAACGAACTTGTTGGAAGGAGGGCGCTAACTGGAATCAGATAATGTCGACTTTCAAACACTCTCATCTAGTTTCATCATGTCATGTGTGAAGAGTTAAGAGGCTAGATAGATCGTCCAACGTCTTCCAGAACAGAAAGGACTCAGTTTGAGTTGCACCCTGAAACAACTTCGTATTCTCGGTATTCGACTGGAATTAGCTTGCAGCTGAGTCTAATGGGGGAAATCTTTTCAAATGGAAAATAACATTTATTTCCATTTTTAATAATATTTCCCCGCATGAGCCGCCATTGCAAGCTAGTTCCAGTCCAATACCGAGAATACAAAACTGCGAAAAACAGAGACACTCACGCATGAAAAATCCTCCAACTTTATTTTCTTTAAGCTCGTCATTTCGCTCATGAGCGCAATATTCTGTTAAGTCGCTTTAAAAGTTTAAATTGAATGCCAAGAGAGCACTTGCTCCAAGAACTTGAACTAACAAAGAAGACTGCTTACAGGCCCCGTTCACACTACGCCGGAGAATTAGAAAGCACAGCTTTATTTCGACGGTTAGACCTACCGTCCACACTAATCCGTTACGAAAACGCTCTTCAAACCGGTGAAATTTGAAAACGCCAGCGTTTCGTTTTCGCGTGGACAGAAAACACTTTGAAAACGGAGTTTTTTCGAAAACAATGGCGTCACGATAATCATGTGACTTCCCTGAACGAGTTTTCCTCAAACACAAATCCAAAATGACCGCTGATTGTTGCGTTTTTAAATTCCTCCGGCGCCGTGTGGACGGAAAACATTCGATGCGCTTTCAGAGTGAACTTCCGTTTTCAAATTCCTCCAGCGTAGTGTGGACGGAAAACATTTCATACGTTTTCAGAGTGAAAGCTCCCTTTTCAATTTCCTCCTCCGCAGTGTGGACGGAGCCTCAGACAGTTGTAATGCAAAAAGGAATAGAAATTAATTTCCGATGATTCAAATACTGCTTGAGCCTTAGTAGTTGACCATGGATCAGCGCGCATAATTACGCTAAGTGATTCAACAAAGCGACTCGTATAAAATACCTAGGAAGGAAATGCATACTATTAGCTATCTCCCGTACTCTCCACTACTAAAATATTCACACTAGTACTGAGAACTAGAAAACTATTGATCCCTGATGAATAATTGAAACGCGAGGGCTCCTAAATGAACAAACAGCTGTGTTGTGCTTCAAGTAAAGCATTGACATAATATACTCCCTATTAAGTTATTACACGAACATCTTAATTCCGTTATTTCGTAAGAGCGATATTTCGCGAGTTTCGAGAATATTTAACATTATTTATTGAGTAGAGCCACTTATTTTTTCGCGACTTCAAATGTTTGCGATTAACAAAAAAAGTCGCAAAAAACGCAAAAATTTAATTTCGCGAAAATGTCCCACAATGGTGAATGGTCAAGTTCACCGTACTTAGGTAATGTTTCAGTTTTTGGTTGTGTCTGAAGAGGCATAAGGTAAAAACCTTTTTTTGTTTGTTTTTTGTTTTAATTGTAAACTTACCCAAACGTTTATATATCACCCTTACAATCTTAATCTGGTACAGACGAGGGACATTTTCGACTTTGTACTACACAGATCACACGGTAGCCACGCTTATCAAATGTGGAAATAAACAGGCACAGGGCAGTATGAGAATTTCCAGAGCAATATTTGTTCGTTTCATCTTCATATCAGCGAAAATGTTAAGCCTCAACTCCGAGACTTACAAACGAAAACAAACTCACAAAGCAAGCCTTCCCGTGTTAGCTTCCATAAACAGGGGAACGTTCAACCTCGACTGTATAACAAATAGAAAAATAGATTTTATGAATAGTTTTGCATTGTGTCTACCACTATTGCATCTGAAACATTATATTCTACATCGACGCAGTCGCCGAAAACTTTATTTTCACTTGAGGAAATAAATGAATTTTGAGGCAGCCACAATTCTGGATTGAAACTTTCAATGATAGAGAATAAGATTTATGAAATGCTATATTAAAGAAGTCCTTTCTGTTTTAAAGGAAAATAAAACCAGACTTGAGTACTTATTGTAAGGTCCACGCACAACTTCGTGAACGTGCACAAAAAATATCTTTGCGACCAATCTTTAATGAATTGTTTCAGCTTTGTCCATAGTGTGGTTACTACTGACAGTCCACAAACAACGAGCTCAATGTAATTGCTTGTAACGGTTTCTTATTGACTGACGAAAGCAAAACCAGTTCAAAGTTATTATAGAGCCAATCAACACAGATGCAAGAAACGCTACGAGCCAATCACCACGCAAAGGCAAAGAAACGCTGTTGGCAAGCGCTGGAAAAGTCGCGTTGCATTCTTTACGTAATTACGTGATTGGCTAGAAGGCTGCATCTTAATGCTGATTGGCTAGGTACGCAGCATCTTAATTGTAATTGGCAGAAGGGTATTGCGGCATTGCGGCAAATTTTACGAAACTTACGTGCTTCGGGGCTTGTAAAATGCAAAACCACACAAGCACATGATTATTTTACTTTAATGCAGCGACTAATCGAAAAGCGCCGCATTAAGTGGATCTACACTGACCAAAAAATGGCCCGAGAAGAAATACTATTTCCTAGAAAATTACAAAAATTGTGACTGTACATTGATTATTCGTTACGAAGGTATAGTGCCATTTTGACTTTGAAGCCTGGCCACGTGAACGTAGATCTTCAAGGCAGGGCCTAATTTGATTGACATACCAGTCAAAACGTCATTTCTAGACATCAGTAGCAATGCTTTACCATCGATTTCCTGGAAAACAAGGGACAAAGAGTTAGTTTGGACAACAGATATGTTGGCGTGATCCTCGAAGGTAGCTGTTGAAAAAGCCTGATGCCGAACGTCAACCCAATGCCAGACTCTCTCTCCTTTGCCTTCCTTATCGTTGTCTTGTCTCCTCCACGACGAAGGGCAAAGGAGAGAGAGCCTTGGATCGAGGTTGGCCGAACGTCACGCACCCTCCTCCCAGTGACGCTTCGGGCTCGTCACGTGTTCCTCCACAATGTGGAGTAAGAACAGATTGCGTGACAAATCTACAAAACGTCTCCTTCTTTTAGAGATTAACGACCAAGTCAATCAAAAAATGAACTGTATATCTGTTACGTGTTCTTTCGATATACTTTCAATCCCCTTAACCTGCTCAACGTATCTTATAATGGTGACAAAAAAGTCATTCTTCAGCTGACTATGAAAGGCAGGTCTTTCTAAACTGAACCATGAAAAAAACCTTCATTATCCAAAAACACAGTGCAAAATTTGGTGATTACTCTCACCTGGTTTTGAAATGACTTTGCCTCTTCAGGAAATCCTAAAGAGCTGAAAAATGACACAACCTCAGTGACTGTCCACAGTGAAGTGTCTGGTGGAAGATTACTTTTACTCTTTTCTGTATCTTTAGCTGAATCGCGACTTGCAGTTGACATTCCCTTACCAGGAGAATCTGCAAAAGTTAAAAAATATACAACTAATAAACAAGTACATCCACACATTTTATTAAGGTTACAGTATACCTTCAGATCGGCAATTTTTTTCAAATTTGGATTTTTGGTTCAAAGTAATGGTCGAAGAGTAATCTCTAATTTCTGAAAACAAAATTGAAAAAAACCTAATATTGGCGGAGAAATGGAGGTTTAACGTTATGGCCGGAAGTAAAAGTTCCCTCTTGATTGACAGCCCTATAACGTGTATGCAATCAACCGAGACTACTTTCGCGGGAATATTACCGATATGG